GCCCTAGGGCGGGGGACTGGGACACGGGGCCTTTCCCCTCTAGGGGGTGCCGTCGCTGTCTCTCACATGCACCCAAAGTAAGGCTCCCTGCGGTGGGTCTCTGGGGCGACTGAGGCAGGAGCCCCTCCCAAGGGGTTAGATGCCTGGGGCCAGACACAGAGATGGGAGGGTCCGTTGCAGACCTGCTGGACTCCTAGCCACGCTCACGCCCCCTTTCTTTGTGGTCCTTCCTTTTAGCCTGGCTGAGGCCCGGCCTAGGGCGACGCCGCCCGCTCCAGGGGGGTGAGGCCCTGTCACAGAAGGAACCGGTCCGGTCAGTGCTGGGATTCACCACCAGAGGGCGCCATTCCATGGGCTCCCCATCGCCAGGAGCTGCACCGGCTGCTTGGATTCAGGGGGGCTCGGGCAATAGAAGGAACTGAGACTCGGAGAGGGGGAAAGGACTTGGCCTGGGTCATGCAGATGGGGAGAGAACCCAGGAGTCCTGGCTCCCCTCCCCTCCCCCGCTCTAACCACCAGACCCCACTCCCCTCCCAGAGCTGAGCGAGAACCCAGGAGTCCGGGCTCCCAGCCCTCCCCCAGCTCTAACAACTAGACCCCACTCCCCTCCCCTCCCTGAGAGAGAACCCAGGAGTCCTGGCTGCCAGCCACTCCATGCCCGCTCTAACCACTAGACTCCACTCCCCGCCCTAAGCTGAGAGAGGACCCTGGAGTCCTGGCTTCCAGCCTCCCTGTGACTCACAGGGAGTCCAGGGTGAGAGGCTGAGGCTGAACGTCTGGGGGGTGGCAGGCGGGGGCTGGGGGGTCAGGGGGAGAGTGATGACTCAGGCAGAGTGGATGAGGGTGTCCCCTAGAGGTTCAGTTCCTCCTGCCCTCACCCCCATTGCCCCTGCTCTGGCACGCCCAGGCTGAGCTGTGCCCACCTCTGATCAGTGTCCGCGCTGTGGCTGGCACATTCCTGGCAGCCTTCGCATTCCCGCTGCAGCCAGGGCTCCTCCTTCCGCACTGCGGCCAGCCAGCAGTCCCTTGCCTGTGTGCTGCTTAGCATCCCGCCGCCTGACAGCCCCGGGAATCCCAGCGCGCACTGCTTCCCTGGCACGGTCTGCAGGAATCAGGACGTGAACCCTGGTGTCCTGGCCAAATGCCATCTCACAACCCCTTGCAGCATGGCTGTGCGGCTCTTCCCCAGCTGCCCCGCCCCAGAGGTGGCTGCATCTTGGCGCCGGGCACACCCTCTCTGTTGTGGTGGCTGTTAAACATATAAGGGGATAACAGCCTACTACTCCTGCCAGCTGATGAGGTGAGTCCTTTAGCCCTCCATAATGGGATAACAGCCTACTACTGCAGCCTTCCTCCAGTGGCTCACGCAGCAGAGCGCTGTGGGGCCTGTACTGATGTCTAAACTGTTCCGCCCTCTTCTGCTCCAGTGGAGATGGTGGCGGCTGTTAATAAAGCCCTTATCAGATGAAACAAGCCGAACACAGCCCTGCTTCCCTTGTGCCCTCCCAGCAGTCAGGTTTCAGTGCCACGCTCTTATCTAAACCCTCGAGGTTGCCTGGTTCTCCAGATAAATTAATTTCCAAACAGCCCTTACCGCGGAAATCAGAGGTTGTGCCACTTCCTCTCAGCTGGGAGGAGACATAAATGGCCAGAACCCCAGCTGGTGACGAATCAGCGTCGATGTGGCTGATTGGCACCAGAGACCTGTCCCCATTGACCCCAATGGGACTACGGCCCTGTGACGAAGTTGGGGATTTTTGTAGTGTTTTACATGAATAGCGTGTGCGCGCCTCAGTTTCCCGGTGTGCTGCATGTTTGGCAAAGTGGTGGGAGAGGGTTTGTTGTTGCAGAGGACCAGGTGTGACCTCGCCTAGCGGCCGGGACCCCCGGACAATGGCCTGGAGATGGGGAACCCTAACAGCTGGTGACCTGGAGACTAAGAGACCCACCCCAGTGGGAGGACAAAGGGCTGAGGAGAGAGGACCCCAACCAGTTCCAGCCAGAGGGGAACAAAGGACTGAAGAGAGAGGGCCCCAGCGACCTGTTTACCTGGGACGGAGGACAAAGGACAGGGGTCTCTGGGTTGGATGGAGAGAGCAGGCAGAGCTCACCTGGATGCAGGAGACACTTAGATGTATGGTGCTGATGGAGGCCAGGCCTGAGGACCGAAGAGTTTCCTGTGCTGTGTTCAGATGCTCAAAAAACCCTCCTGTTTTACGATGGCTGAGAGTCGCTCTGGTCTAGAGAATAGGGTGACATTATTCCTTCTGGGAGTGGAGGCCCTGGGGGTCCAGAGCGAGTGGACTCCCTGAGGGGGCCCACGGCGAGAGACAGATGTGCTAGGACTCAGAGAGGTGCAGTTCCAGGCGGCGGAGGGGCTTAACCCCCGAGAGAGAGTGCACCCCTGAGAAGGGCTGTCGCACTGAAGGGGGTTCCCCCCCAGGGACCGTACGGGGCCAAGAATGGGCACAACCTCGGAGTCTGTGACAGGCCCATTGACCCCAGCTGGGGGTCTGGCCCTCAAGCTATAGCATCTTTCTGCCTAAAGCAGTTGAGTCCACTTTACAAATGGCATGGAAATGGTGTGATCTAGTGATTAGTGGAGAGGGGGCTGGCAGCCAGGACTCCTGGGTTCCATTCCTGTGTCAATGTGGGCAAGTCCTGTACATGCTCTGTGCCTCAGTTTCCCCTCTGTATACTAACAAGATTTCCCGTATATTGCGGAGCTGCCAGTCATCGCTTGTTTCAAAGTCCTTTCGCACTCAGGGTGGAGGGTTTATTCCTGTCTCCCAGCCAGGTACATGGAGTGCTTTGCAAACATTAGCTAATTAAATGTTATTATTGTTCCAGGGGCTGGATCAATATAATTCTCCACGTTGTACAGGGGGGAGAAAAATGAGGCATAGATATGGGATAAGATACAGGCGAGCAAGGGCAGAGCTAGGAAGAGAACCCAGGTGACCTGACTCCCAGCCCCCGTTCTAACCACTAGACCCTGCACCTCTCCCAGAGCTGGGATAGAACCCAGGAGTCCTGATTCCCAGCCCCTCCTCATGCTAACCGGTCCCGTTTGTAGGTGGACCATTATCTCTCTCTGCCCCATTCACACACTCCATTATCTCCTCGATAACCAGACCATGTCACATTCTCCAGGATAGAAACCAGTGGCCCCTGATTGACTCCAAGCCTCTTGCTTCAATGCCCTGCGTCGGCCACTTTAATTAACTTCTCCTTGCCATGATTACAGAGCCTAATGAGGCACCTTTGGCTGGACACCTACTTACAGATGGGGACAAATCCGGGGGTAGCAGCAAAATGGATGATCAAAGTTTGAGATGAGGCCACCAGTGGGATGCATTTCCACGAGAGTCCACCAGGGGGTGGTGGAGGTGCCTGAGGCGTTGCAGTACCCAGCGACTCCGCCAGAGGGAGGCGTTGCAGTCTCACACTGCACAAACCCATGCCACACACTGCCAGCAGGACGCCTCCTACTGCCGCGATCCATGAGAGCCAGCGCTCTCTGTCGCCCCCTCTTGCTGTGGAGGTGCACTGCGGGCGGACACCCACCGCAGCACTGCCTTGCGGCAGGAGGCAGAGGTGTGTGTTTTGGTACTGAGGTGGAGGATTTGAGTCCCAGCAGAGGATCTGTGAGAGGAAGGCCGTGTTGCTAATAATCGCAACAGGAAGGCACCCGATTTGTCCCGGGATGATGATGTCCCAGTAGCCAGCTCTTCGTCCCTAAATCCCACAATGCTTTACAGGTCAGTGTCATTATCCCCACTGTACAGCAGGGGAAACTGAGGCACAGAGTGAGGAAGTGACTTGCATGGGGTCACGCAGCAGGCCACGAGATCTGGGCTCTGTCTGCTCAGCCTCGCAGGGCAGGGATTCCTTCGACACAGTGAACGGCAGAGACCTTTGATGCAGAAGGGACTGGGGTTTGGGGCCTAGAAATGGCTCAGCGGCGGGTTCCAGTCCTGACCTGAGCGTGTCATGAGGTTGGGGCTTTCCAGCTTGGTCCTGGCCCCAGAGAGGGGATCCTGAGCAGTGGGGGAGGGAGGGCAGCGCTGAGAAGATGTGGATTTGGGAAGAGGACCCAGGAGTCCTGACTCCCAGCCCCATGCTCCAACCCACTGGACCCCAGCACCAGGGATAGAACCCAGGAGTCCTGCCCCACAGTCGAGTCCGTCTCTGGGGGCCGAGGGTGGGTGACTGCTGGCATCACAGCTTGGAGCAGCAAACCTGGCCGCCCCCAAGGCCTCTGCATTGCTCCTGGGGTGGTCCCGGTGTCAGTTTCTCCGTTCGGCGGTAGAAGACCTTCCTGGCCAAGGGGGGCAGGGAGCAGACGCCCCAGAGCCGGGCCAGGAACCTGCGGCAGGAGTGCTGGACGGCGGAGGAGGAGAAGTAGAAGATGACGGGATCCAGGCTGGCGTTGAAGGTGCTCAAGAGCAGAGCCTTGTCCCGCCAGGACGGGCTGGCCCGCTGGACGAAGCCCACCACGTGGGAGACGTTGTAGGGCGTGAAGCAGACGATGAAGACGGCCAGGGTGGCTGCCACCAAGCCCACGGCCCGCTGCTTCTTCCCCCGGCGGATGTGGGGCGAGGAGACCACCACCCACATGAAGCCGCAGTAGCAGAAGGAGGTGAGCAAGGAGGGAACCAGGAAGAGGACGATGCCCAGCTCCAGGCGCACGGGGAGCAGCACCCGCAGCTGGCCGGGGGTGAAGTCATCGTAGCAGAGGTCCTTGGAGGAGGCGCTGGTGGCGTTGGCCGGCCCGCCGCCTGGCTGCAGCTCGGTCACGTAGACGATGCTGCAGTGGGCCAAGGAGCAGAACCACAGGCCCAGGCTGGCCAGGGCGGCGTAGGCGGGGCGGCGGCGCAGCTTGTAGCGGATGGGGTAGGCCGCGGCCAGGTAGCGCTCCACGCTGACGGCCGTCAGGAAGAGGGTGCTGGAGTAGATGGTGCTGAAGTAGAAGAGGCCGCTGAGGGGGCAGAGGAAGGCGGGCAGCGGCCAGCGCCCAGCCCGGGCCTCGGCCACCTTGAAGGGCAGGAAGGCCAGGAAGCAGAGGTCGGAGAGGGTGAGGTTGAGCAGGAGGATGCAGTTGGGGGTGGCCTTGCACCGCAGCTTGCGGATGAGGGCGTGCAGGGCCAGCAGGTTGGTGGGGAAGCCGGTCAGGATGGTCAGCAGGTAGATGGAGAGGTACAGGGCGCGCTCCTCGGGCTGCGGGGCCATGCTGGGGAGAGAGCGGCGACAGGGTCAGCGTGGGACATGGGGCCTTTCCCCTCTAGGGGGCGCTGGCTCAGTGGGGGCAGGGAA